CCCCTCTCGCCCCCCCCCCCCCCCCCCCAGCAGATGGATGCCCAGACACACCAACAGAACCAGGCTTTGCAACCCATCCCATCCCTGCAGCAGGAGCCTCGGCATCAGGACTGTTTCCCCCCCCACCCCCCTGAGTCAAAAGGGGGAAGGCAGTAGAACAGGAGCAGGCAATTATTTGTGGCAGAGGGCCGCTTACTGAGTTTTTGGCAAGCCATCAAGGGCCGCATGACAGGCACCCCAGGGCAGATTAATATTAATTTTCTACATTTTTTAGGGGCCCCACGGGCCGGATAAAATGGCCTGGTGGGCCGCATCTAGCCCATGGGCCGTATTTTGCCCACCCCTGCAGAAGGACCAGGCCGTTGCCCTTAAGGGGCACCAGCTACATCGGTGACTCTCAGCTTGTTTAGCCTGAAGGGCCCCCTCCATATCTTTTCTGAATTTTAGATCTACCACATGCATCTTTTGGGCTGTAAGAGTGAAATATGCTGCTAATTTTAATCCAGAAAAAAGTGTGTACCAGGTATCAAAAGTTTGGGAAACACTGGCCTGAGGAAACTAGCTCTTGTCTGGATGCTTTGGTATTTTGCTTTTGCTCAATGGTGTGCAGTTGTGAAATTGAGACTCATGCCAGTTTTATGAAGTAATTCCCTGAGAAGTATGTTTGTTTAAGAAAAACCATATATCCTTGTTTCTAAAGCAGTTTTTCAGCATTTCCACTTCTTGAGAAATAACTTAGTTTTGTTTTGATTTGGAATAAAACCAAACTTTGAAACCACCAGAAACTGGAAATTGTAAGGTTCAACCAATTTACTTTTCTTTGATGTTACTGAGATATTTGCCCTGTCAACAGTAAGAGATTTGAACATAAGGACATGGACTTTTTCCGAATATAGAGATAAAATTTATGCCTGCAGAGTGTGTTAATTGACAGCATAATAGGTGTTGTAAAAGTTGGCAGGATTTACTATCTTTATTTCCCTGAGTCTTGGGTGGTTGAGTTGTCCTATTGCTTTAATTTGATAAGATTGTGTCATTTGAAAGATCTGATAAAAATACTAACATAGTTAAATTTAAAGCAATTTTTAAAGTAGTACACTTCAAGCTGGCAAGATTGAAAGTGTTCTCATAAAATTAAAATGTTGATTAACCTACTGAAACAATTTGATGTACTGTTCACCTTCACAGTCTCTGTGAATTGGAACTATAATGTGCAGCTAGCACCTGTTTACATATTCCAAATGAAGAGGGTTCTTTTGCTTCCTATATATAGGCAAATAACTTTAGTGGAGGGGGAAGATTAGTTAATGTATTACAGGGAACTGTAGAGATAGGATTGGAGAGGGTGATCTAATATGTGCATTGCATCTCACTTATATGTTGGTTTAATATTGTAATAAGCTAATATCACTTAAACATGTATAGAATATTACTTAAATTATTTAGTTTTATTTCAAGTGTTTACTAATTAAAACTGAATAATATTATTTTGTAAATCTGTCATTTGAGCCATTATTAAGTATACTGTATTAGCTGGGGTTTTTCTGTATTTCCAGAAAGGTCATAGCTTGCGTGAAAAACTTGCTGAAATGGAAACCTTCAGAGACATCCTGTGTAGACAGGTTGATACTTTGCAGAAATATTTTGATGCCTGTGCAGATGCTGTTTCCAAGGATGAACTTCAGAGAGATAAAGGTAAATAAAATTACGGTTCTATATATACTACAGAAACCTAAAACCATGCTCCAGTGCAATAGCATCCATAAAGGCTGATACAGGTTTTATGCTGGCTAAATACTTTAATGCCCTCTATACCATAATGTAGAGTTAACTGGACTCGACTATGTAATAAGCTTTGTTAACCATATCGGGTGCATATTTTTCATCAGTCCTTTCAAAATGGTGGCATATGACCCGATTACCCATCTTCAAAGCTATATAAATAAGTTTGCAACATCTGCCTATAACATTGAATTGTTATGGTAATTCACATTAAGTGTATTACATCATAGTGTTAACTGCCACGTTATGGGTTTAAGTTTCTGATATGTGTTTCCACCTTGTGACAAACAACAGGATGATTAGATTCATGAATCTCCTTTTGTAAAACATAAATTTCAATATCTAAGCTCCTAGTGGTGGGATTGGCTGTAGTTTTCTGTTTTCTTTGTTTTTGTCATCTAAATTAATCTTTTAAGAAAACAATACATTCCTTCTCAATTTAGTATTCTAAAATACTAAATTGCAAATAGTAAAAACCTTCTTATGTTACATTTTCAAAAAAGGGTAATTTTAGATTACTATCTAAAATATGAGCTTTCTGGTATGGCAAAGTCCCTTCTGAAAAGCAATTATATTTGTAAAATTGGCACAGTTGGACTCCCAAACAATAGTCTGAGTTTCCAGCCTGCTTTAACATATGATCAATAATGAAAAAACAATCTTTTTCATATAAAATGTATTTGTACAAGGAAGGTTTTTGGGGCAGGCACAGAAGCACTGTTGAGCGTATGTCGGTGAAAGACAGCTTTCAGCATTATGGCTTAAGGTGAGGGAGAAGGTAGCAAAAAGGTGAAGGCTTCTGAAATGTATGGACCTAGGGCACAACCCAGCAGAACATTTAAGTATGCACTTTGGGTTCCAACGAATTCCACTGAGGCTAAGCATATGCTTTGCTTTGCTTTTTTTTTTTTTTTTTTTGGGGGGGGGGGCTGGGTTCTGTCTTGTTTTTAATGCTCTGGCAAACGTTGGGTGTTTTTAAGTATTCCCTTGGAATGGGCGTCAACTCTTTTGAGCCACCTCCGCTAGCCTTGGTATTGTGCTGGCTTCCTGCAGTCCTGGCTGGTGCTATTCTGAGGTGGTTGGGAGGGTTCCCAACCAGCCTCCTGCCTACTATTGCTTTTGTGATTCAGGCTGCTTGGGTTGAGGTGCTCTGAGTTAGTTGCCTGTAAGCAGCCTCCTGGACCTTGGGTGCAACATGGAAAGAATGACTTGGATACATGTTTGGTGGCAAAAGCTCAGATAGCTACTGTCCTAAGAGACAATAAATCTAGCAGGTCTGTATAGCTATCAGCCCAGCCTACCAAAACTGTGCAGACAATTATAAGTGATGCATTATGTGAAGAGACAGGCCCCCAAGTCGCTTCCAAAAAGCAAGTCTCAGTCCCTGTATTTATAGCCTAGATGTCCCTACCCCATACCAATTCTTTTCTTGTGCTTTCTATGCCTGTGGTTCCTCTTGTCTTTTGCCAAAGTCCAGACACCTACTGCTCCCCCTTTCCAAGTTTGGGCATATACAGCTCACCCCCTGCTGAGTTTGGGCTTTTCTAGCTTACTCCCTACTGAATTTAAGTGTCTTAAGTGTACCCCTATCAAGTACAGCTCATTTCTAGTTATCTTTATTTTGCTTGTGAATTCTAATTTTGTATTCCCCAACTTGTTCATCTACTGTTTCTTACTTTGAATTACTGTTTTTGCTTACTGTGTCTTTTGTCAGGTCCTCCAGAGGTCGGTGAAGCCTGTTATTCCCAAGGTTCTTTGCAGTGTGTTAGCTTAACTATAGTTTAGCATAACTATGGCCTAGCATAACTAAAACTGCTACAGCTAGGAGGTTGCAGGGAACATGCACCTCTACAATCTGACTTTTTACAGTGTTCTTGTTAAAAGTTTTTCCAAGTTCTGTGCTGAGCCCTGAAAAAAAATAGGTCTCCTTTTTTATCTAGTAAAAAGAGAAAAATAATCGAGTGTCTTACACTTGTTTGCAGCGTGGTTTGTGCGCTTGCTGGTCAAATTATGGCCATGGGCAACAAGCCTGAAATGCTGATTTTTGTGCTAGTCCTAGACAAAATACCACGGTCATGGTGAATGTTGATTCCTGTGCTAAATCAAAATAAGTAACCTCAGAAATACGTAGGTAATCAGTGTCACCTTATTCAACATGTAAATACTACTGTATTTACTACTCGGCAAAAATGGGAAAGGAACTACTGGTAACTTATCATTTTTCAGCCATTCAAATAATCTCTCTTCTCTTATTTAGTGGTAGAAGATGATGAAGATGACTTCCCTACAGTGCGTTCTGATGGGGATTTCTTGCATAATAGTAATGGCAGTAAAGAGAAATGTAAGTATTTTTTTAAATTGCATTATTTCAAGTTTTCTCAAGGTGTAGGTATATGAATAGTCTAGGCTAGGTATCGGCATCCTATGGTCTGCAGGCTAAATCCAGCCTGTAGCTGCATGGAGAACCAGTGCGATGCCAGTGAACTCTAGCTGACTGGAGAAATAATATGCTTTTGAAGTAAGCGCTGCAGCATCTAGTCGAGTGGTTGTCTTAATTTGGCAACCCACTGCAAATTAAGTAGGTGGCAAACCACCTAGATAGAAATGATCCAGATTGCGCCATAGCTTTTACTTTTCCTATTTTGTATGTAAGGTCATGTCTCACTATAAACTTTCTACTTGTTTAATTATGTCCAAAGTGTGATGAGGCAAGATTTCTGATGCATAGTTGAACAGCATTTTGTCTGGTATAAATAGTATACATCATTAGCAGCAATTCACTGGTTACTGTGCCTCTTCTAGCCGTTCTTTAGATCATAAGTAACAGAAGAAAGTTCTAGATACAGTTGTGGGTCATTGTATTCTGTGATATTTTGCAAAGTAGCAGCTCTTGCATTGCAAGCTGAAATTTGTTTCCAGCCCAGATGAATAACAGTGAAGGTAGGAACTTGCAAAATCTTGATCCTCTGTATTTCACTCAAGGATCCATTGCAAAATCAAAAACTGTATAACTGTTTTTGGATAATTTGGGTGCATCTACACATGCATTTAAGCGTGACTATTGCTCATTAAGCAATTTTTGGCAGGTGTCTACACGTTCAGGGACTTGGGACTAAAGCTAGTCCCAAGTCCATGCAGTCCTGGCATGTGGCCACTGGGGGCAGCTCCAGCCTCTGGCCACATGACTGCCAGCACTTGGCAACTACACTGAAGCCAGAGCCCAACTGCTAGCACCTGGCAGCCATCTGGGAAACTAAGATCCCTAGCCAGCTCCTTCTCTGCCCAGAAACTGTGCACCCAGCGCAGGCACAACGTATGGCAGTTCCCTCCTTGCCCACCCTGCCTCCCCCTGCCAGGGCTGCCCCTGCCAGTGACACCCAGTGCCCTGCTGCTCCAGCCTGGCCCTTGCCAGTGATGATGAGCACCCCACACTCCTGCTGGCCATGGTGCTAGCCCCAGTAGGCACCCCCCCCTTCCCCCAGTTCTCAGGACAGCTATGTACCCACCAGCAGGGACCAGGGGACTGGTTGCAGGCGGCCATGCCTGACCACCTTCTCCTGCACTCCCTGCTCCAGCCCTCTTGCCCTGCTGCCCACTCACCCCCTATCACTCTCAGGACATGCACATGGGTGAAACAAACAAAAAAAAACGTTATTACCCTCACAACACCCATCCCCATCCCTCCCCTCTCAACCAACAGAGTCCCTCCACCATCTGCCCCACCCACCAACAGTAAAAGAAACCCACTTACAAGGGAAAAACTATATACAGTACTTTGTGTCTTCAAGCCCAGAGTTGGAAGGGTGCGGAAGGGGGGCTAGGGGACAGGGCCTAGCACACAACCCCTGGATGTTCCCTGAGACTGAACTCAGGCCAGCCTCCTAGTGGCAGGGTAGACCCAGCACCAAAGTTAGTTCTGGGTGTTGTCTACACATGCATTAATGCACATAGGCTAATTGGGCCCAAATTTGATACCTGCAAACACAGGTATCAAATTTAGGCATGATAAGTTAATGTGCATTAAGAGCATGCACATGTAGACATGTGCCCATAATCTCCATTAACTTAGGCTAACGAGCATTCAGTGGCGGCTGTCCCTCAAAGTCAAGGGTGACATCCGTCAGGCTTGATGAGTCTTCAGGTCACTGAGGAGCCTGATTCTGGATGCACGCATTCTTTGGCAATGGGGGCATGTTGTTGCATGGGGGAGTGGGATTCACAGCCCCCACTCCTTCTCTTTCCGCTGTCGTTTCGCCTTGGTATTGAGTCAGTGGGCCTCGAAGTGGCACACATCTTGGTGGACCAGGTGATGCTACGCTGAACAGTCAGCAGCTTGTTCCTCCTAACTGTTGGTGTCGATGCCTCTGTGCTTGAGGGCGACTTTGAGCATGTCTTTGTACCATTTCCTTTGGCCACCCTTTGAGCATTGGCCGATGGAGAGCTGGGAGAAGAGAATCTGGTGAGGGAGGCAGTTTTTGGACATTGGAGTTGATTTCTCAAGAGCAAGACTTCAGTGCTGGTGGACGCAGCTTCATGGAGGACGCTCGTGCTGGTCCAGCGGTGCTCCCATTTGATCCCCAGGATTTGACGCAATCACTGCTGGTGAAAGTTCTCAAGGATCTTAATGTGGTATCGGTGGACAGTCCAAGTTTCACTGCAGTTGAGGAGGGTGGTTAGCATGACTTCCGAAGGTCTCTATTTCCAAAGACGCGTTGTCGCAGCTTGAAGAAGGCAGCACTGGCACAGTTGACCCGGTGCTGGACTTCTTCATCGATGGTAGCCTGTTGAGAGAGGTGGCTACCGAGATATGGAAAGTGCTCCACATGCTCCGGTGCCTCCCCATTTACATAGCACAAGGGATGTTCAGCTGGCCTAAGGGGGTTGGTGGAGAACCTTCATCTTAGCAACGTACAAGGACAGGCCAAGTCTCTTATATGAAGCATTGAAAAGATCTAAGGTTGTTTGCACATACCGTGCAGAGTGAGCCATCTCGCAGCAATCGTCTACAAACTGAAAGTCGTGAATGTCCTTGGTGGTGAGTTTTGTTTTTGCCTAGAAGTGCCCAGCTTCCTGTCCAGTCGATACTGGATACTGACACCGGATGGTAGATCATCTCAGATGAGATGGATGAGGACTGTCAGGTAGATGATGAACAGGGTGAGGGCAATCATGCAACCTTGTTTGACCCTGGTCTGGATGCAGAAGGCGTTGGTTTTAGAACTTCCGCTCAGGACAATGGCGGTCATATCATCATGCAGGAGCCTCAGCATGGTGACAAACTTCAGCGGGCAGCCAAGGCGTTGAAGGATGGTCCACAGAGCTTCATGGTTTAAGGAAATAAACGCCTTGGTCAGGTCAGTGAAGGTGAGGAACAGTTCTTGATTTTGCTCCCAACATTTTTCTTGGATCTACCTGGCAACAAAAACCATGTCCGCAGCACCCTAGGATGGTCAGAAGCAGCACTGAATTAATTTAGTCTAATGTGCATTAACACATCTTGTGTATGTGTATCCTTTTTGTCTCAACATAATTTCCCACTCCAATATGAAAAAATAAAATGTAGAAGTTTCAAAAGCTAAAATAGCCATCAGAAAGTGCATGTTTTTATGTAACTGATTTCTTGGGTGAGATAAATGGCACTTGTGTGCCACCTGTTGTTCCAATTACAATTGTCAATCTTGATTAGTGACTAATTTTAATATATTCCACAGCATGCATGGAATGGGGAAGATGGCCATCTTAAGATGGTTAGTAGTCATAACCTTAATTTATGCGTTAGTTGACTTTTGTGACTTTTTTTAAGTGTAACCTTAATTTTGCACTAATTTAGTTTGTTCGTTGTTATTTGTGATTTGCTGAATTACCCTTCACTTGATCAATTTCAGTGAAGGAGGCCTTAGATTATAAACTACTGAAACCCAAATACTACAATCAGATGTTTGTTTGGCATACCCTGTGCATGCATATATGTCCCTTCTGATCTCCAGTGAGATTGTGTGGACCAAAGTATCTATGTTTATACTTCGGATTGCAGGGTTAGAGCCAAGAAGCATATAGGATAGCATATACTCCCTTTTAGTGGAGTAGATACTATTTTTATTGTGCCTGTTTGCCATAAATCTATAAGCACTGAAATCAGTCTGTCCACCCTATACCTGCCTTGGTGTTACTACATCTTATTCTCATAATGTGAGTGCATTTACAATCCATAATCCAAGTAGTCTTTGTCTTTGCCTTAAGCAACACCTTTTTTCAGGATGGGAAGGTTTGTGGAGACTCGGAAAGTATTTAAGATTATTGTCTATTTATCAGATCTTCTGATAATGGCAGCAGGCAAAGCAGTGACCACCTTGCATAATCAGCAGTGAGCAAATGTAGGGAAGTTGTGATCATATGCAATACTAGGTCATGAAAGTTGTTTCTTTATTCTCTTAAAAAAAACAAAAAACTTTTAAATGTGGACAAATTCTTACCACTTGGAACATGTGCCCATGTGAACAGAAAATGAAAATTGGGGCTGGAATCTTTGGTACTCAGTGAAACAAGGTGGAATTGTTGAACTTGCTGAAATGAAAGAGCAAGTCCTCTTGGGATATAACAAATAGAATACTTAAATAATGAGAAGAAAAATGATCCATGAACTGGAGAGATGGCCATGATCCTACCAAGGATAGCAGACTGGGTTACAATGGAATTGGAACTGGTAACAAGATTATCAGAGCAAGATTTATTTTGCAATTTTGGAGCATGAACATAATCCATTGCTATGCAACAAACTGCTAATGAGGACGTGAGACATTTGTAATGGTAAACTACAGCTAATTGTGAGCAGAATATCAACAATAAATGTGCCAATAGCAACGGGAGATTTTAGTACTTTAAAATATGAAGCTGAAACAAGTGAAAAAAAATTGTGGCCACACGTGGCATTGGTGTTGTGAATGCAAAGGAAGGTACCTTGATAATTTCTTGTAATAATCTTGATAGTCAAATAAACATAATTGGAAGAAGTCTGGTCTCAGAAAAATGAGCTCAAAATCTTCTCATGTTTCTTCCTTCTGGGAATAACAAGTCAACTTGATTTGCATTTAATCTCCAAAGAAAATGAGCAATTATGGAGGATGTGAAAATAAACAAAGATTTTAGGTTATTGTGCCCAACCATGCTCCTGCTCCAAGGAATCTTTTAGAATTAAATGAATTGCTTTTAAAACAATGATGAGAAACCAAGGAGATAGGACCTGAAACTGGAAAGTTCAGCCTTCATGCATTTATCCCAGGTTTGTGTGAAAAACAGATTATTTCCTATAATCAGAGAAGATTTGATATTAGGTGAAGCAATTAAGAAACAAATGTCAGGAAAGCTGTGATGAAAGCTAGGAAAGGAAAAAGGTTTAATACAATGCCTATTCCACAAGACTTGAAAACTGTAGTAACTGGAAAAAAAGCAAAAGGCCAAGGAAGTCTTTATTCAAGACTAAAGAACTAAAATGATGCAATGAATAGCGAAGTGAAGCAAAGTGCATGGAAAATGTGGTGTGTATGGTTGTTTGATTTGGGTTGGGTTTTTTTTTTGGGGGGGGGGGGGGAGGAAACCTAAACAGCTTTTTGTTCAAGAAGCTAAATCTGTAGATTTGATGCTTTGCTTTTCTTTTCTTTTTACGTGAAGACTGTTTACCAAATAATTTTTTTAATTGAGGTTTTCCCCACTGGGCAACAGGTTAGTTAATGAATGTAGAAATAGGTTTAGCCAACTTGAAAACCAGTTGAGAGACTGAAAGATCATTTTAGTGCTTGAAACAACAAATGACCAGAAGATCCTCCTGACATTCCAAAGATCCTTTCTTTAGTAACATTTCAGAAGTCACATAAAGAAAATATTTTGAAAGCCATTAAAGCTTCTAGGATAGATGAAACGTCAACCATAGTGGGCTACGATGGAATTGGAACTGGTAACAAGATTATCAGAGTAAGATTTATTTCAAGTAATTTAAAATATGATAGGAATGCTGGAAAAAGTTAAAGGGAAATCCCTTGGTTAAACTTGCAAGGAAAGGGAATATTTTTTTTCAGAGTAAGAATGGAAACTTTCATATGCCTTTCTGTACCAAGCAAACTATATAGCAAGAATACAGTTGGAGAAGATCTAAAAACACTTGATTCCCAATTTATAGACAAATAGGTTGGTTTCAAGGAAGAAAGATTGTGTATGCATCATTACGATGTTGATAGTGAATATTAAATGTAAAACTGCCACTTTAAACTATGTATGAACTTGTAGATTAGAAAAGCATATGATAGTGTGGACTAAGACGTCTTCTAGAAACTAATTGAGTATTATGAAATTCCTGATTAGAAACTTTTTACAGTGGATTTGGCTGCAAGTTCATCATACTTGGTCTTGGAGTTGGGCAAAGTAAAGGCTTACGCATACCTTGTTATTCATGTTATCCTTGTCTTCAAGTTCAGTGGCAGGCCAGAGCAACCTGGCTTGGATTGGAGGCAGCCAGCACTCTTAACCTAGATGTTGCAGTTGCCTCTCTTCCCTGGCCAGAGTGCAAAGGTTTGCTGGTGCAGGCCATATGTTGCTAACCCATGTTTTAATTCACTGTCTTTTTATTTCTAATTCATTTTAACTTCATCCAGAATACATATTGATACATCTAGAAAACATAAACTTTACACACTTCAACTTAATGACCTCAAAACATGAATAAGAAGTGCTGATAGGAATAGGAATGAAAAAAGATCAAGATGAAAATAAGTGTGAAGAAAGAATAAATGAAATGCCAGGCCATGTATAAAGGTAAATGGCATGCACAGTGAAAAGATGGAAAACTAACTTGGTAGCAAGCCATTCCAGTGATCTGGAGGAAGATATCTATGCTAGACCTGAGATAACACAAAACCTTTACTCAGAAACCCAGTTTGAAAGTCACTGCTCCTGTGCCTTTCTAGATAGGGCAGGATATAAATCTAAATACTGTTATTGTTAAACAAAATTAAATTAAGAACCAAGCTTTAGTGTTTGAAAACACTGTATGGGGAAATCCATAGAGAAATACGATCATGAAAAAACATGTATCCATAAATTGATTCTTATATCAAATTAAGGACATAAGAATACAAGTAAGTAGTTATAAGGAAAAAGAACGGTGGGTTCTAGCTGAAGTGGGCTGCTCTGCAGTAATTATGTCTATGTACCTAAGCCTGTGATAAGCGAAAGTTCAACTTCTGCAGGTTTTGCCTTCGAACTGCTTAAGTCTGAAATTTGGGTTCTAGTTTCATTTTGCATAGCAGGTGAAATCTAAAAATCGGGAAGACAATTAATATGGGATTGAATGCACAATTTAAAAACTAGCAGAAAGTACCAAGAGAGGTGGAGTCGGAGACTCCGGAAGGCAGGACTAGCATCCAGAATGACCTGGACAGACTAAAGAAATGGTCCTTAAATCAACCAAATGAAATTCAACAAGGACAAGTGCAAAAGTCCTGTACTTGGGACAAAAATAATTGTACATGTACAGACTGGGGGATGAGCGGGGAGGCTGAAGTACTGCAGAGAAGGATGTGTGAATTAGAGTAGACTGTAAGCTGAATGTGAGCCAGTAGTATGCTATTGCTTAATAAAAAGTGGGGGGGTGGGGGGAAGCAGAAGGGAGCAACAGTATACTGGCTTGCGTGGATAGGATTGTTGCTTTTAAATCAAGGGAAGTGATTCTTCTGCTCTCTTCAGCACTGGAGAGGCCTCACCTGGAGTAGTTTTGGGCCTCACTTAAAAGAAAATGTTGATTAGCTTGGAAAGAGTCCAGTGCAGAGCAACAAAATGCATTACGGGGGCATAGGAAGCAAAACTGAAAAGGAAAGGCTGAAAGATTTAGGTTATTTAATTTGGAGAAGAGAAAACTGTGGGGGCATTTGATAAATCTTCACATGCCTGAGGGACTATTAGGGAGGATTGAGATACTCCTGTCCCTCGCAGCCACAGAGAGAAGCCTGGGAGCAATGGCCTCAACCTTCAGCAGGGGAAGCTTAGGGAGAAGACCAGGAGGAACTTTCTGACTTCGAGGGTGGCCAAGCATTGTAACAGGATACCTAGAGAAACTGTGGGATCTCCATCCTTGAAAGTTTTCAAATGTTGGAAGAGCAGACTGGGCAGACATTTGCTGGGATAGTTTAGTCAGATGATCCTCGCTTGAGGTCCCTTCCAACCCTGCTTTCCTATGAAGAGAAGCTAGATTTTTTTTTTTTCCCAATTTACCAGGACCAGAAAATATTGTCCCCTTGCTAATCACTTCTCTACATCAATCTTCCAGTCAAATTCTGTTTGTTATTGAGGAGAGTATTGAACTAGAAAATTTTTGGCAATAGAGCCATGTTCTTATGTCTCTAAAACTGATACAATCATGCTATGTAGATAGATACAGTTTATATCCATGAAGGGGAGTTAATTGCCTGGTATAAACTGTATCACTGCTAAAGGTCTTTGTAGTGTGGTCTAGCCATGATTTTAATTACTCATAGACCCCACTGTTGTTTTCTTTGTTCCTTCCCCAGTAATGTCCATAGCCACTACGGAAAAGGGAAGGTAGGGTCCCAGTTGTAGTTCATAGTCATATTTTGTCTTTCATCTTGTTCTCCCCCTACTCTGTTTGGAATCCTTTTTCTCCAGTTTATTCATTGCTTAGTAGGAAATGAAAATAGTATCCTGTAATAACACAAATTGCTGTTTAGAATGGGGTGTTATAAGCATTATATAATCTATAGCCTTTTTCAGGAAGCCTTTGATTGTTCCTGAAAGGAAAGGAGCCCTAAATTTCTAGAGTTTTAGATGATTCACTGAGACACGTTAGATTTTTTTTTTTTTCTTCTATCCTTCCAAGTGTGTTTGCAGTTTTCCAGCATTGAAGAGCTATAGTTGCATTAAGGGTATGGACAAATGTACCTTTTGGAGCAGTTCCAAAGGGGAATGTTGCCAAAGGGCAGCAGCTATCAAGTTCTAATTCATATTTTTGTGCAAGCTAGAAACCATGTAAACATAAGGTTAAAGCTGAAGCTGTTTTGCTGGGTTAAAGAGCTGTTTTGCTAGGTTTGTGTTTGTTCCCAGCTTGTCCACAAATAACAAATGTAGTCAGACAGCTTCAACTTTTAACCTTGGATGAAGCAAGGTTAAAGCTGGAGCAGGTTTGCTACATTTGCATCATTCCAGTTTGTCGACAAGTAACATTTAAAATGCAACAGCCTTTTAATGCAACTCTCGTAAAACAGCTCCCAATGTGCGTGTCCACACTTTGAGAAGTGTATAATCTTTATTGAACTAGTCTAACTGCTTGAAGTCTCTGAGTCAGTCTTATCAGGCAATTGTGTTATGCAACATTTTAATTTTGTTTTAAAAAATTATAATGTTTAAGTTAAATACAGACTAAATAATACTGACAAATTAAGACTTAAGAAATGCTAGTTATTGCGTGACTGATCCTTAGCTCATTGCATGGCATCTTTAGCATTAAATTGACTTACCTGGGTACATTATCTATTACATGGGAGTTTCCTGTTGTTTTCTAGTATTTTGTTACATTAATTGGTTGTATTTGATATAGTATTCTTTGTAGGAGCTTGACATGTAACAAGTACATTTTCCTTGTCACACATCTCTTAAGTGATGTGTTTAAATAGCTTGGGCAACAGATGGTTTGCCTGACTGCATGAAGTAGTCACTGAAACTGCAAAATCCACTGTACTTGGAGAGAATTCAACACATTTGCTATATCTCTTACCTTTTAAAAATATTTTACTTTATTACAGCTATTAAAAACAACCCCCCCCCCCCCCCCCCAACTCCAGTCATCTTTTTAAGACAGCCTTAATGCTCCTTTTTGGGCTGGATGCATTTTGAAATGTATAGCTTTTTTAATACTGTATCAGTATGTTGGTTTTCTAAGGTTGTTCTGTCTTAATTAGGTCCCACTTAAAGCTGTCAAACTGCTACTGTTACAAAGTATTACCACTCCCTCCACCCACATGATTGCTGAGTGCAGAGTAATACCTCATAGCAAGTAGACTTGTGGAAATACACTAAAGCAAGATGAAGTTGAAGAAATGCATTCCTGTCTTTAAATGTCTGCCTTGCTCTTGTGGCTAGCTGACAAGTGTTGGTCATCTTATTTTTAAATTAATTTCATATTGACTAATAGAAGTGAGGTATTTTGTTTTAGACTCCTCTAAGTTAGGCTATAGTATTGATTTTGAGTCTCTGAGGTGGATATTGGTGAATGAATCATATGTTTGTTTTTAGTGTTTCCACATGTGACACCCAAAGGAATTAATGGTATAGACTTTAAAGGGGAAGCTATAACTTTCAAGGCAACTACTGCTGGGATTCTTGCTACACTTTCTCATTGTATAGAACTCATGGTAAAACGTGAAGAGAGCTGGCAAAAAAGACTGGATAAGGTAAGCTTTTCTGTTTATTTGTTTTCCTTTTCGTTGGTCTGTAACAGTCAACCCAAGTGCCTTTCATTTCGCTTGAAACTTTGATTGGGTGATACTTACTCCATGTAGCTTTGTGAATGTGCTTGAGGGGTGTGGATTAATTTAATGACCTTAGATTGAGTGCTGGAATTTAACGGTGTTGTGCAGATCATGTGGCAATACTGTCCATCCTGTGCTGGTCATCTTACTAGCCTTCATTCCAGAGAGTTCTTAAATGTAATTATTTTTCAAAAATCTATGGAGGACCTGACAGGTCTCCATAGTAATAAGTATATTTCTTGCAGCCCTTTTTAAGAACAGGAAACACTTCTTTTATTCTAAATGTTGTACAGATCTGTAGTACTGGACTGGTTGTAATAAAAGGTAGTGACAGCACTTAGTACAACCATTTTTTTTAAATAAAATGCCGTCTAAAATCTGGCATAATTCATCTCTAGAAACCAAATAAGCTTCTGTGTGGTAATACATCAATTTTTAAAGTTAACTCTCTTCATTCATTAAGAAAAGCATGGCATCACTGTCTCTAGACTATCACTAGTTGTGGTGGTGGTGGTGGTACATGCAGAGTCTGCTCATCAGTACCACAAAAACTCAGAAGAAATGAGAATGGTCTTAAATGAGACTGGTATAAGTGTGGCTAATGCAGTCGCTCCCCGTTTTGATTCCTAAAACTTGCTCATCTCACATTGATCTACCCTAAAAATTGTTGTCCGTTCTGTTTTCATTTTGCATGTATATTGTAAATCATGTAGCATTTTGGTTCTTGTCTTGCTCTTGTTTAGCATGGGTGCATGCCAAATTCAAATCTAATGAAAAGGCAGTCAGGAGCCAGACTGTATCCATGCTTGAATTTATTTCTTCAATCTCCTTTCCCAAGCAGTTGATCAAAGTTCTGGTATTCAGCCAAATAGAATTGATATTTGCATATCAGCCATTTGTTTGCATGGCAGTTGGGGTCTCTGGGGGAAATTTTTTCATACAATAAATATAATATAGAATATGGATAAAAGTCTGCCTTGTCTGTAGTTTTATTGTATATAGGTTTGAAATGTTTCATAGATAAACAATGAAAATATATTCAACCGATATACAGAAAATGTTTTAAATGTTCTAGTTAGCTTCTAACGTAGATAAACAAAAACTTAAGTTCCATTTTAGACCGTTCAAATATGTGCAGGTTTAGTGATAACTTTTTTCAAAACTTACCTTAGAAGTTAAGGCAAGGCACAACTCTGATTTTGGACTGGGGTTCTTTCAAATGTTGAAACAGTTGTAGGATCCTAACACAGCTGGTTTTACAGAGAAGGTTTTGTTTGTGATGTCAAACCCCACACAGCTGGTTTTACAGAGAAGGTTTTGTTTGAGATGTCAAACCCCCCCCCCCCCTCTCCTTGCCAGTCAGACTTCTGTTTGAACCTTTCCTTTGCACGAGGCAAAGCGCAAGCAAGAAGGCACAGAGTCTAATGCAGGGGTTCCCAAAGTGTGGCCTAGAGGCCTCTCTTATGTGGTCTACTGCCCCTTTAAAAATGGCCCTTCATTGGCAACATTTTGAGACCCCTAGTTTAGCATGTTAAGAAATTAAAAATAAATTTAATAAAGAGGTAGCAATGCTGTTGGGCATATCTGAGCACTCTTACCTTCATTTATTTTTTTCTGTATTTTACCTGCTTTACATGTTTAAGTAGTTTGCCTCCAATTAAGTAAATTATTTACCTTTTATAATATATCTGAGATGATGGGTA